GGTGGTGATTTTGAGTTTTTTTAGTGGTGTGGTGGTGTAATAGTGGGTGTGTGGTAGAGGTGATGTGGGTCTTCGATACGGTGGTTTCTTGGTTGTGGTGTGGCGATATCTGTGTGTGTGGCTATGGCGGGCAAATCTCTGTGTGTGTGGCTGTTGTTGATGGTTGGTGTTATTGTTGGTTGTTGGTCGATGGTCGAGGCAATGGAGGCGGCGACGGGCAGATAGGACGAAGAGTTTCTGTGACCAACTATTTGGTCCATCTATAACCAAGTATTGGTGGCGGCTTCGGGTGGATAGGACAAGAGTTTCCGTGACCAACTATTTGATTGATCTGTGACTAAGTATTGGTGGTGTTTTGGGATTGGGGGACGGGTGTTTGGGTGCATGTGACCAACTCTATCGATCTGTGACCAAGTATTGGTGGTGTAGTGGGATTAGGAGAGAGGTATTTGGGTATATGTGGCCAACTATATATTTCTCTGCGGCTAACTATTTAACTGTGACTTTAAAGTTTGTTATTTTGTGACTCAAAATATAATATGTGACCAACAAATTTTCTTAATTTGTGACCAATTAAAAATTTGTGACCTATTTGTGACCAATTAAAAATATGTGACCTATAATTTTTTTTGATAAGTGACCAATGAAATCAATTGTGATCTATAAATTTTTTGAGTTGTGATCTCGAAATAATCTGTGACCAATTAATTTGATAAGTTGTGACCGAAAATTAAATTTTTAACTATATCTATGACCTTGGAATCGAAGCAATTACCGGAATTAAGCGGCGGTCAACGGTTACCGAAAAATAGTCGTCGGAATTAAGCGCGGTCGGTGAACAGTCGACGGAGTAGTCGTCGGAACAGTGGAGGTGGTAGATGTGGAGGTGGGGTGGGGTGGGTCAATTATATAAATATTATATTACAGTTAAATATTTAATTTAATAGATTAATTGTAAAATATAATTAATTAATTCATGAAAAAACCTGAGTTTTATAAATTTAAACTTTGGGGCCTGATTTTTTATTTCGTAAAAGATAATCCCTAACATATGAATTTTTCCCTTTTATCCTTCCTCGATTCAATTCTTACATTAAAATAGACTCCCTGCTCATTGACCAATAAGTTCATATCTTGTTGTGACAGTTAAAATCCTGGGAAGATTACATGTATCGGGTGGTTACAAAATACAATTTCAAAATTAAGAAATTAGTTTTATTATTTAAAAAATCAGGTCTTAATTAAATAATTATTTTAAATTTATTTTATTATTTAAATATATGAAGATCACAATATTATATAATTTATGGTCATGGTTATGTACTAGCCACATTTACGGACGTCATGGTCACAAATTACAAATTTATAGGCCACAATTTATTTTTCGATCACAAATTATCAAATTAATTGGCCACGTATTATTTCTTGACCAGAAATCAAAAATTTTATAGATTATAATTTCTTTATCGGTCACAATTTATCGAACTCATACAATATGTATTATTCATCGGTCATAAATCATAAATTTTATAAGTCACGAATTATTTTACGATCACAAATTATCAAATTAATTGGTTACAAGTAATTTTTTGGTTAGAGATTGTCAAATTAATTTGTTACGAATTACCAAATTATGAGTCATGATTACAAATTTAATCACAATTTCACATTTTTTTAGTTCACATATTATTTATTAGTAACAAATAATCTATTTTATCAGTCACATATTATTTATTAATAACAAATTAATCAAATTATTGGTTACAATCCTCTT